CTTGTAGGCTTCCAACCGGTAGCAGATTGTACAATAGGCTTAAGGTCCATGCCGGCGGTCAAAGGCATGGTCTTGAGAGCCTGTGCCTCCTTGGCTGCTTCGCCACGGTTGTTGCTACCACGGCCACGGCGAGAGCCCCGTGGGGAGTTCGGCACTTGAGAGCCAGCTCGCGAACCACCTGAAGGGAAGCCACCAGTATTGGAGCGGCCCAGAGAACCCATGGGACCACCAGGTCGCTGGTTGGACATGGCAAAGCGGGACATCGAAGTGCTGCCAGGAGGGAGAGTGCTGCCAGAAGGTGCATTAAAGTTACCCATGCCAGGGAATCCACCCATGGGGCCGGGAGTGTTTGCACCGCGAGAGCCACGGCCAGAGCCACCAGGGGTGTTAGTCCTGGAACGCTCATCGCCGATAAGGGACTTGACCTGCTGGTGGAACTCGAGAGATGGCTGTTCGGTAAAGACCTTCTGGAATTGCAACAAGAAGTTGGAATCGTACTTGAAACTCTTGCCCTTGCTTTGGACAGCGGCGTTGATAGAGGGGTTGGGCGACTTGATACCTTCAGGGTAGATATCTTGCTCAATGACCTTCAAGAAGCGGGCTGACTTGAGAGACTGGAGAGCAGCGCTGGGCTGTGCAGGCTCTACCGGCTTAGTGTTGAGAGGGCTCAAGTTGAGAGCAGCAGGCTTCGCACCGCGCTTCTCAGGTTTAGAACCAGCAGCATCTGTAGGTTTATCACCTCCAATCTTCATGCTAGCAAGCTTGTCGGTAACAGACTCGACCTTGGCAGGTTCGGCCCCCTTGCCGCTTCGCTCTCGAGCGAGGAGCTCGGCAATCGAGAGACTAGGTGCACCAGATGATTCACCCTGTTGACGACGCTTCTCTCGCTCCTCTTCGAGCCGTTCCATTTCGCGCTCCTGTTCTCGAAGCTTGCGGTCTGCCTCAGCAGTGTTCTTGGCACGGTCCTTTTCTTCCTGTTCCTTGGCAGCAGCCTTCTCAGCCTCACGCTTCTTGCGATGCTCCTCCTCGGCCTTTTCGCGGCGAGCATCCTCCTCTTCCATCTCACGGATCATGCGCTCCATTTCATCCTCTTCAGGATCGCCGCTCTTTGTAGGCTCTTCCGCCTTCTTGGGTTCTTCCTTCTTGGGTTCTTCCTTCTTAGGCTCCTCCTTCTTAGGCTCCTCAACCTTGACGGGCTCGGGTACCTTGGTCTCAGAGCTAGCCTGGCTTTCCGACTCCACCTTAGCAGCAGGTGCAGACTCAACCTTGCTCTCGGTAGGCTTGACCTCGGACTGCTCAGCAGGCTTGTCTTCGGGCTTCGCTTCGGGCTGCTCTGCGGGCTTGGGCTTTTCCTCTGCCTGAGTGGCTTGCTTGATCTTCTCCTTAAGCTCGTCCTGAATCTGCTTAGCAGTCTTGGGAGCGGCATGGCTTTCAGTGCGGCCATGTGATGGAGTAGCTGTCTTGGGGGGTGGAGTAGCCGAAGATGCAACAACAGGGGGAGTCTTAGATTGTTGGATGCTGGAGGCAGGGGAGGCAGGAGTCTTGAAAGACGATGTGTCAATCACTTCACCAGCAGCATTCTTGATTTGAATGGCGGCGCTCTTCTTAGGCACCTTAAAGCTGTTTGCGGTGGGCTTAAGGGAGGAATTCTGGGGCTGAGGAGTAGAGGAGACGATGAGAGGAGTGTTCTGCTGGCTGGCGCTCGGGGGCCTCTCAGGCTGAGAGGGAGTTCGGGACATGCTGTGGCTGTGTTGTTGAAACGGTGAGGCGAAGTTTTGGTTAAAGTTTGGAGAGTTAGTTTGAGGAGGAGCCATGTACGGCATATTGCCATAGTTGTACTGCATCGCCCCAATCGGACGTCCATAACCATCCACTTGCTGCGGTGCAGGGGGGTAGCCGTAATTCTGATTTTTCAAAGTTAGCAAGGAATCATAAAATTCATCTTTGGGCGACATGTCGGAAGCAGGTGCAATGCTCAAACCAAGAGGTGGAGGAGTGTTTTTGGGCTGGCCCGAAGATGATCGACGAGTGCTGCTGACGTTTTGTTCTCGCTGCGGTTGATCTGGACGTCTACTGAAACGCCGAGATTGGTTGAGCTCATCATCATGCAGATCTCGCGAACAATCTTGCGGACGGGCGATCTGGACCAACTTTTCCAGTTCGCCACGTTTTGGTTTACTCTTTTTATTGTTCTTTGATAGAGGCTTATAAACTTGAGAAGGGGGGTACTGTACTTGTTGATGCTGCTGAGCCATAGGAGGCGGGTAATGGTATTGAGGAGGTGTCGCCATCGCCATGTTGGGTTGCATGTTGGCAGTCCCCATGTTGGGAGTACCTGGCATGGAAGGAACAAGAGCCGGGCTTCGAGCTGGTTGAGGAGAGTTCGGGTAGCGAGGCTGAGGTTGGAAGGCTGCGGGCATGCCACGACCTTGACCGGGACCGTTGCGGTACTGGTTGTTGGGAGGATAGCCCATTTGGGGATTGAAGCTGTTTCCGTGAGGGTTGAAACCACGACCTCGACCACCTTGAGCCTGGAAGTTGCCTCGTCCAGCACCATCGCCTTGTGCAGAATGGCCAGATTCGCGTCGGAAGTGGGCTCCGGATTGTGCGTTAGGGTTGTTAGAAACGGAACCTGGTCTCATGTGGCGCTGTAACAGGTCAGTAATGATTTCAAGCGAGGTTGACGCTTAAGAATGTGGACTTACCTCGCCATCGCTACCAAGACTACCGAATGTCATGGTTCCGCTTGCCTGCTGAAGACCGGAAGGAGGTCGGCCACCGCTGGCAGAGGGTTGGGGAATGGGCGACGGTGAGTGAGCGGGCGAAGGAACTCGGGCGTTGCCTCCACCAGGAATGGGAATAGGTGCAGCACTGGTGGACTGGGGCGTGCTGTTAGCCATTGCGGGAGAGTCGAAACCGAACTGAATGTTTGATTTGGCACCACCGACAGGGCCACCGTTGGCGACAAAGTTGTTAGGGGCGTTCGCAGCCATGGTGACTGAGCTCTTGCGAGAGTGGTCGGATCCGTTGATGTTGGCGCTGCTACGAGGGACAGCGGGGGCGACGGCTGGCTTGCCGTTTACAGGAGACGATGAAGCGTCCTTCGCATTCTGCGATGAAGACGAACCTCCAACCACCGCGGCAGGGTGGGATCCAGTTGCGACTACAGGGGCCTGATTCGATTTCTTAGGCGCACCTGCAGCTGAGGCATACGAAGCCGTAGTCGCGGGAGTATTGTTCGCAGGGGTGGAGTTCTGCTGGTTGGCAGGCGGCGTCATAAGGGGAATTCGGTGCCGCTCGTTCGCGATGCGAGAAAGTGGTGGTGTTTAGATAATTTTTTTTGTGGGCGTCGAGGGAGAAAGCGGAATAGATGGCGCCGGGGCCGGGACTCGTCGAATTGTTCGAAGTTGCAGGCGGGGCAACAAGAGTCGTCAACGAGAGGAGACGCACAAGGTTTCCTCTTTTTATTTTTATTTTTTTCGGGGTGATGGGTGAGAAAAATAATACCTCAATCTCAACAAAGAGATCTCGAGAAAAGACGCAGCGGTATAACCGAAATGCGGCTTGCTCAAGGAGAGGTTGACGACGGAGTTCAAGGAATGAAGTCGTACCAACGATGAAGAATAGGTAGGCAGTCAGTCAGTTGGGAGGCGAGACAAGCTACGATCCTGCGTGGCGACAGAAAAAAAATCGAGGAGAGGGGAGATGGTCTCTGTGATGATGGTATTACACAGGACGGAATCCAATACTGAGTCTGGTTAGAAATAAAGATTTTTCCACCGGACCAGGGAGGTTGAATTGTTGGTGAGGATTTTAGAAGAAGCCAGCAAAAAAATTTGGGCAGCAGTCTATGATAAGGATGGGGGAAGGGGCGAAGGGAAGGGCTTGTTTTAGAAAAAAAAAACAAGATTTTGGGTTTTGACACTGTACGCTCAGAGCGCACACAAGGGGCTATGCTTTGAGGTTAATCACTGTCAGCAGCCCATTAAGTTTGCTGATGTAGTGTTGCCAGGCTGCATATACAGTGTCAGCATCTGCCAAGCAACCGGCAATCCTACACTGTCCTAGAGACATCCCACGCTTCATTATTATTTTTCTTTATCCTCTTATTTTTTTTCTGTATACAAAGTAACCCAGCCCAATCCCTAGTTGGTTGGTTAACTAACCTAAGTAGCCTATCCATTCATTCGCCAACGGAGACCATTCAACCTCTACCTACGTCAGTCTAAGTTCATCCCCGTGGGCGAGGGCACACTAGAGGTTATACATAACCTAATAGCCTGCCTGAGGAAGTTTGATAAAAAGCTTCCTCCTACCATGGCCTGAGATGGCATATGGGTTGCGCAGCACAACCAAAGTTACGCAAGACTAAAATTTACCAGTGGCGGTCAAAGTGTCGGCCTACCCCAGACGGATCTACTGACTACCTAGGTAACTAACGTCGACCCATGCCTGAGGATAACAGTTCTGGTTGCTTGTTGAATCACTCATTGGTGTTGCAGTGACTCTTTCTTTGGCTCTAACTGATCATCATCACATGCTACCTAGTTACTCATTATGGCATGGGTGACAGACATGACATGCATACACAATATTCATTTGTTAGCAGATGCCCTATGCTGTTCAACAAGTCATCGGCAATATGTGATCGCATAAACTTTGCTTTTATCTCTTATTAAATTAAAACTTACACATCTATCAACACATCATTCCATGCTGCTGGGCTAGCTAGGGCATAGATAACTCGGATATTTAACCCGCGGGCCCGGTCTGTCTGTGCTGCGTCTCGTCTCCAGAAATGATTCATGGATGACTCTAGTTCCTCACCCTCAAATCTGGTCATTGGTAGGCAAGTCCAGAAAAGGAAATCCCGAACGGAACATGCTCGAGGTTGATAGGGTGCAGTAAGTGTCCAACGGCCAGCTATTCATTCTGTAAAGTATTTCTACATAGCAGACGGCACATCAGAAGATATCAAACAACGACAAAAGTGAATCACAATGGAGTGGAGTGACACTGATAGCAGCACGCATGGGCCAGGCAGGCAGGCACAGGCATGGGGGTTCGATGTCAAGGACATGCGATTCAGGTTTGAAAAGGAGGATATTGGCTACTCTAAGCAACAATGTGCTACTATGGCAGTGTGAAGCAGGCAGTACGTAGCCCAACCTGAACAAGGGCGAGATTTTTCATTGTCACATATGCCCAAATTGCCAGTCCTTCGTGTTTCCTTTTCTGGATAATAGAAGTGGAGCGGCCAACACCATTAACATGAGCAATGATGCTCGGATGCCAACTCATACACAGGCTGCCAGGACAAGGTAACGTTATTAGGGGCGAATCTAAAGGGGAAATATTACGCAGTCAAGAGAAACGTTAACTCTGTTTTTATCCGAATTTTCGATAACAACAAACCCCAATAAATCTTAATGTCTGGCTCAGTTCTGCCTGAAAACATAATCTTGCCTCGCAATCTGCAGCAGGGCGCTTGAACTGTTTCGCCCCTTCGATCGGTTGCATTGTTTAATCTGTTACATAGGCACATAGGAGGTAGGTTGGGCATAGACTACGTGCCCAAGCAACCAAGGTAGCGGTCGGCCTGATCTGATATCCATAAAACATTGTTTTGCTTCTTCTGTCAGGTCTGAGCACTCACAACCCCATCTCTTCGCCAATCTATTTTTGTTCTCTCCATATGGAGCATGGCCAGTCTCTGTTTACACTTTAGTCACGCACAGATAATGTTTTCACAAAAGGAGTCATCAGAGACAAGACTCTGCCTGCTTCTTGCTTATATTGTATTACATGTTTCCAGTCCTAGTCTATATTCTCAAGGAGTCATATCCCCTGCAAACTGACCGTTGCCTAATATGTGACTAACCAAACAGGCATAGTACAACTATTATCATTCCAAGACAATAAGTAGCCGCATAAGATGAGACATTGGATGCCCTGCGTTATACTAAAGGATGGGCTACAGACACTTTCGTAATCTCCCAGCTTTGTCACTGTTTAGCCATGCCTCGTTTGCTTGTCTCCGTCTCGTCTTGCGGGATCATGAAATGTAGTTCATGACCTTCCGATCGTCCTACTTTACATCATGGCCTTATTAAGTTAACAAACACATCAATGTTGCTCACATGGTTAAGACGAAACGCAATCAACGGAATAGCAGGAACCGGAGGTACGCCCTGTAACGATGACCATACTTTCAGTGGCGTCTGACGACGGCCAATAAAATTATTTAGACACAAAGTTGATGCTATTTTTTTTTTTTTTTTTTGCCGTCATCAGGCTGTTTCTTGAAGAGGTTGCACTGGCTTATGATAACGGTAGTTTAAACGCAGGCGATGTTTTGATACGCTAGCTTTAGATGTATAAATTTTGTAATGGACCTGTGCGCTGCGAAACCTGTAGAACTTGTTTCCCTCCTGGGTCACCCAGCAAAGGACAATGGACAATATACTGGTGTTTAGCTAGCAGGTCGGTTCACTCTCCCTCCCGAACTTCCAAGATATCTGCTTCAACATCGTCTTCTTCGTCATCCTCTTCACCATTACCGTATTCTCCTTCTCCGTTCTCGAACTCCTCTTCAATGATGGGTTCCCCTAGCTCCTCCTGAAGCTGCTTCATTTTCGTCTTGGTCATTTCGAAGACATACTGGCCCAGGTGCTCGACTCCTTCCATTGGTACCTCGCCTTCGACTGCGCCGGGCTCCTCTGTAACTTCCCTTGGTGTAGGCCAAAGCTCCCCTGTTACAAGCATAAGCTTGTCTGGCCTCTGCAGTAACAAGTCAAAAGCGGGTCGGAGTTCAGGGCAGGCCTCAAAGACCTCACGGCGACCAAGGATGTACAGTCCAAGTCGTGCTCGGGACAGAGCTACCGTCATGCGTCGCACATCGCGTAGATAACCCACACGCGATGTTCGGGTAAGTGACAGAATGATATCTAAAGAAGTATGTTAGTTAAGGAGCGGAAATCAACAATTAGCCCATGTACTTACAATCGTTCTGCTCGCCCTGATATTTGTCAACCGTAGCTACCGCCTTTGGCAGGCCAAAAACTGAATTTCGGCCGCATCTGTGAGACAACACATCCTTTACGAGAGCTCGCTGGCCAGCATAAGTTGTGAGAATGGTGATCTTCTCGGCGGGATATCCGAGGAGACGCATGTATTGGAAGATCGCAACTACGTACTCGGCTTCTCCTAGATTCTGAATGAAGTGAGGCGTAGGTTCAGCCTCGCCCTGACCCTTGTAGTCAGGCACATTGATAAACTGATAGTCGTACTTAAATCCAGCGTTGGCCTTGATAAATTCGGGACTTGTCTGCACGGTGGGGAGGTTATCGAGCTTGGGGTAACGCCATTGGTAAAGGCTCGCTATCGATGCACGGGCACGTCCTTGTTGGTCGAGGACGACTGTCGGCACGCCTAGTCTGACCAGTCTCGAGAACAGTGATTGTTCAAGGTTGGCGTAGTGACGGAACGCCAAGCTCTGGATGACTGGGGAGTTTTGGAAGTGGTCTCCACATAGAACAACTCTTTGAAGGCCCATCTTGCCGTTACGAGGTTTCTGCATAGCCAAAGGCAAGAATGTCTCGATTTCGGTTACTTGAGCAGCCTCCTCCATCACCACGTTGTCATACTGGAAGCCCAGCGATGCAATCTCACCTCTTCTAATAGCGGCGTGTGTTGTTGTCATTGCAATGATACGAGCCTCGCTGGTTAAAAGGTAATTTGCCTTGTCGCGGTCTCGTCGAAGGATCTCGAAAGGAAGTGCATCGGCCAACTCTAAGAATATCTTGGAAATGTGACGATAGCAACCCTTGGCTACCTCTAGAGCCTGTTCTTTGTCTCCCTCGGGGGAGAAGAGAGGCTGGGGGGCATCAGAAAAATATGCGTGGAATGGGAAGGCTTCCACAATATCAGAAACGGTAGAAGCATTGTCACTGGCGACTAGTTGAAACCTATTCCATGCAGGAACAACATAAACGTTGTTAAAATATCCAGCCGTCTCGGCCGAATTCTCATGGGCTCCCGGTGCGCCAAGGCTGGTTGCTAGCTTCCTCACTTCGAGAAGATAGCGGTCTCGGTTCTCTAGGAAAGATTCGACTCGACCATGTTTGCTGAAATTTCCTTCTGTATCAAGGTCTTCTTCACCGTGTCCCAGGCGCAATAGATGTCGCTCATCGATATCCAGCGCAACGATCTTCGTAAATAGTTGGTTGAGGGCCTGGTTACTATGTGCGAGTAATAACGTCTTCTGCTCAGGATAGTTGTGGTAAATGTTGTTGATCACCTGTGTGGCTACATCTGTTTTGCCTGTGCCAGGGGGACCAACAATGACGGTCAATCCAGGCTGAGTGCCGGAGGTGATAGCCTCGATCTGAGCGGGGGTAAATCGCACTGAGTTGAGCTTTGGGTTATCAATGGGATATGGCCCATTGCTGGGTGGCTTGTAACTTGACACCTTTAACGTCTCAATTTCAGCGATAAGGGCAGGGTCAGCATCTCGGCGTCGCTTTTTGGAAGGCTTAGTAGATGGGGGTTCGATCTGTTTCTCGACAGATTCGAGCACATACGGTGGCCCAAAGCTTCCAGAAACATCATCGCCCGGGTCGATGATCTTGCCAGGTAGACTCTCAGCAAGATGCTGCCAGTCAAGAAACGTGTCCCTGAAGTCTACCTTGCGTTCGCGATTTGGTAGGTTTTTATAATAAGCCCCTGCTGGGTCGCCATAACCAAGGAACACCTCATGGAGCCATTCCGGCAGAGGTACATCAGATAGCACCAAATTCCGAATTGATTCTAGTACGGGCTTGAAGTTGTTCTCCCTCCTGCCTCGTCTAAGTAGTAGGTTGATCTTGCCATACACATCAGGCTTCCCAGCGGCCGCCCGCTCAGCATCTTTGCTATAAGCTTGAGGGTCGAGCTTGAGCTGGATGCGACGCTTGCTGTCAAGAGTTCCAGCTCCATCTCGAACCTGGCGACCCTTATCGTCAGTGATTTGGTGGATTTCAGCCGTTCGTACAGTAATCACACCCAGTCGCTCAGATTCGGAGAGATTCTCTCCGCCATTACCGGCAGACTTTGTGGGCGATGGTTCGACTGCAATGAGGAAAACAACATCGTCTTGCCTGAGAGAGTCCCATTCTCTGCGAACGCCTTCTCCTAGCCGCCGGACGTCGAATGAAACCTCAGCGCGTACCGTTGATGGTTTGTCGTCTCCCACCAGAGGTGGCACAACCTCCAGAATAGCCGGTTTCGAGATGGGTATAGCCATCTTTGAAAACCCCGCGAAATTGGTTTCATCTGATCGCTTCGACTCAGGACGTAAGCGCCGTAGGGCAGTCTCGATATCTTTACGAACTCCGTAGAAAGACTCGCATCGGTAAAGGACAAGAGCTCGCCACAGAAAGTCGCCCACGGAGAGATATTGCAGATTGAGTTTAGGCAGAGCCATAGGATGCGATCCGTCGTAAGACTCGGCTTGTTGAAAGCTGCTGTCAAACAAAGTCTCTTCTGTTGGCGCCAGACTCATATGTCGAGCAGCCTCTTGGAACGTTTTCCTGCGCTCAAAGTTGGACAGGACAACTTCTAATAGCAGCTTGCGGTCAATGGGGAGGCTGAGGCTGTCAGGGTATACTGTTCGGAAACCTAGCAGCGAAACCAGCTCCATAAGCTCTTCGTCTGTCAAGGGCTGGAGCAAGGCCTCCAATTCTTGCCTCTGGTCAACAGCGCCATAGTTGGACAAGGCTAAGACAGTCAACTTTTCTCGGAAATGTTTCAAGGCAGTGCGTTGCAATTTTGCAAGCGATTCGCAATGCTTGTCATATGCCTCTTTTATGCTGTATTGAGCACCTGTCTGATTATTGATGTCGAAGAAAGTGAAATGAGATAGGAGAGCTTGTAGGTCGCGAATCAGTGTATTCTCCTCATCATTAAACATTGGTGATAATCTTGCAGCAGGTATTATGTGTAGATCCTGGACCAAGGCATTGACATAGCGCCTTGTCGGAAGTTGGCTTTGGAGATCAGTGAGAAACTCGGTGAACCGCTCGCAGTACAACACTTGGTCTATGATGTTGTTAGCTGTTGCCACATGCGATAGAGAATTCGTCGAATTTACTTACCTGCTTTACTATTTTGCGTGTAAAGCAGACCTAGGAAGTCAAGAAGGAGTGTATAAAGCCAGGACCGTTCAAAACGTAGTCGCGCCTTGTTTTGCTCATCAGCCGCGTCGTATCGCTTGTGCGCAGCCTTCCAGGCCTTTCGTAGATGAGGAAGTTGCTCGAGGCTAGCTTCACGAGACTGTTCGGTCGACAAGTTGTGCCAGATCCCAATCGACACAAGAGGGGCGCATTCCTTTCGGATAAGAGTGCAATCGAGACTCTGGAATGCATAGATGAAGAAACACAGAAGTTGCGTTCGAAGGGTAACAGATAGTGTTCGATCGATCATCATGGACAAGAGTCGGCGAAAGAGGGAAGAAAACTCGGCGGGTCGATCCTCGAAAAGCGCTGGCAACGGTTAATAATAGTTTCACAGGATTGAAGAAGCTACCTACTCCATGTCGCAAGATGCTCCCGGTGCTTGACATTTGTGATGAGCGCAATCAACAAAACGTGAAAATTGGAAGCTTCTTCATTGTAGCCAGGCCACAAATAGCTAGACAGTCATTTGTTAGCATCTTGAATCCCAGGGCTTCCTGCCGCGACATATATACCTTTCTAGAGCCTGCAGACTCTCAAGAAGCAAGAGAGGCTTGTACTGGAAGCCCTCGCGTTCGAGTACATCCCAGATATGCTGCTTCAGAACATCGTTCTTGACCTTCGGCTTTGCAGGCTTCTTGCCGGACTTCAACCAATGCTTTCGCGCAAGTTGAACGAACTGATGTTCCTCTTCCTCTACCTCCGCTGGGGTCGGCCGGCCATCGGTAGACTTGGGCTTGGGTTCGCTCTGTTGCTGCGCTTTGGCGGCGCCGCTGCCCTTGTGTCGTTTCACGGTTGGCATTGTCAAACTACCGTATCGTCATAGGCCTATCAATTATTCGTGTCGCTCATGAGATAAGGCAGAAAATGCCGGAAAGTCGCGTGGCCGAAGTATAAATCAAAGAGTTAACGAAGCTCGAGTTTTCGAGCTTGGATCCGATCCTAGACGTCTAAAGTGACGCCTTCTCAAACAAACAGTTCGGTCCCAAAATTTCAGCCTCGTAGACCCACGCGACGCGCTGAATGGGCCCAGTCACAGAAGATGTACCGACAGGGGTTAAGATACTTGTATCAGAGCGGATTTCCATTGGGGTACCAGAAAAGTTAGCCGCTGGAAGCAACAGAGATGAAATTAGTAGATTGGCCTGAACCACTTAAACCATACTTCTTAGGCTATTTATTTTTGTACTCTCACGCTCAAAGGTCAATGTTTCTGCTCCCCACAAGACGTTGTTGCACGATCAAAGTTTCTGTATCTCGGAAATACATGCACGTCGGTCGCGCGCCATCTCAGCCTTCTCGCTTTCAATATCCCAAAGCTCAACTCAATGAACTGACAGATCAAAGAAATCATACTTTTGCCAAACTTATAAGACGGTTCAGACTCACAAACTCGACGACAAACTTTCTTGCAAAACCGCGACCTGAGTCACACGCCAAAGAACTCAGCCTTTCATTTTATTGAGCTTCCTGTCCCACCCCATGACAACCTCGACCTACAATCATCTTCAACGATTGTCATAGCCTCGCATCATGGCAGCTCAAGATACAGATAACCCGGCCGCTCCGGCAATTTCCGCCTTCACAACTCTACTGGAAGATCTCCTTTCTCAGGCAGAGAGGTCGAAACAATCTGCGACTATCGAACCAGCATTGCGCAAGTCCGATTTCGACGACCTTTCGGGACGAATCACCACAACTACAGCCGAAATTGCCAGCCCAGCTGACGAGAGCGTCAAGCCAGCGAACGACAAAGGTCAACAGTTCGCCATAATAGAAACTGCGGCCCGTAACATATTTAGTCATCTTATTGTGAGGCTCGACTCTCCCTCGCGATCCGCGCCTTGCGCTGACCTAAGTAGGCGACAACTACCATCGATTCCCCCAATTATGTCAAAGTGTGGAATCTCCTCGACATTCTTTCGATTCTCTCCGACGATGGCCAATGCGACCCTGCGCTCTTGTTCTGGCTAGCCGAGGAGCTTCTAGACAGCCAGACTATTGCTGGGTGTCGTAAGATCTTTGATTTCCTCGAATCGAGACGAGAACGAATCACAGCGAACCACTTCAAACAGAAACAGTTGATTATTCTCCGAACATGTAACGAATTGCTGCGACGGTTGTCCCGTGCAGAAGATACTGCTTTTTGCGGCCGAGTCTTCATCTTCATGTTTCAGAGCTTTCCGCTCGGGGATAAGAGCTCTGTGAATCTTCGAGGCGAATACCACGTCGAAAATGTCACGACATACGAGAAAGTGACTACCGACGACGATTCCAAAATGGCTTTGGATGTGCCAGACGAGCAGTCAGAGTCAAGGTCCATACCCAAGTCAACAGATTCCAAAAAGGAAGATAAGGAGAAGCCTTTACCGACCGACGAGCTATACCCACTGTTCTGGTCTCTTCAGGAATATTTCAGTCAACCAAAGAAGCTTTTTGAAACGAAAAATCTGTCGTCCTTTAAAGAGAGTCTGGCGGCGACGATGAATGTTTTCCAGACAGTTCATAATGACTCCAAACGGAGCCTCAAGCGAAAACGGGAGACTGGCGAAGAAGATGAGGGTTCTAATGCTTTCAACCCCAAATACCTCACCAGCAAAGACTTATTCGACTTGGAGGTAGCATTACACACGTTTCTGTCTACTTGGCAATAGCTAACGAATACTATAGATCAGTGACCTATCATTCCGACGGCACATTCTAGTGCAAGCTCTTATTATTATGGATTTCCTTCTTGCACTATCCGGGCAGGCACGAGACAAGCTTGCAGAAACTTTGCCAGCCACGGCCAACATAAACAAGGCTGTCATGTATGGCGATCAGGTGTTGAATGAAGAGGATGTAAGCATACATTTGGAAAGTCGCCGTATTAAGAAGCACCAATTAACTTTTAGCAGGCCAAATGGGCGAGTGACATGAAGAAGACTATTGCAGATTATCTCCGTCAGGGGCCTGATGGACCATACTTTTATCGAATGGTGGAAACCGTCCTGGCTAGGGATAAGAACTGGGTTCGCTGGAAGATCGAAGGCTGTCAACCCATCAAACGCGATCCCGTCGCAGCGCCTGTCTTTATAGAGGCGAAGGGCAATGTTCAACGCTTGGCCACTAGCAAGCGGTTAAGAGCAGTCCCAATGGGTTCTGTCTCGTTGGACTTTCTCAGGGAAGACGACGAGGAGACAGCAATGGGCCGGCTCAAGGCCAAGGAGAGGTATGAACTTCCAGCGCTTGATGCGTTCAAACGAAAAATTGCCGACGACGACTTTGAGATTGAAATGCCGACAAACGATCAAACAAAGGCCGCTGCTGTTGCTGGCAAGGCTAGCAAGAGTTGGAGAGCTCTACGAATTGCGGCGCGGACAAAGCTTGCCGCATTTGACAAGATTGAGGATCCTAAAAAGATTGGCATCGTTTTTGAGGAGCTCACGGAAGCCGATGATGATGCGGATGCTTCTGAACCTACAGCCAGTGATGAGGACATGCCCACAAACCGAGAACCCATCATTGTCTCGGGTATCACAGGTGTTGGCTGTTCAGCAACCATCGCCAAGTTGATGGAGGAGAGGAAGGGTGTTTTCGCTACTGTTGTCAGACACACTACACGGGAACCGCTCGACGGTGAAGTCAACGGCAAGACTTTCCACTTCGTCAAGCAACAAGAATTCAACCAACTCCGCGATGGCGATCGTCTGATAGAATCAGGTACTCGCGATGGGGTTGATTATGGAACAAGTTCCAAAGCCATCGACGCTATCACAGAGACGGGCAAAGTTCCCATAATCGAGTTGGACATCGAGGTAAGATAACCATGACAGTCAAAATAGGCATACCGAATACTGACTGGCTCCTCATAGGCTGCGCAGTACGCCAAAGACATGGGCTTCGAAGCACGTTACGTGCTCATCAAGGCCTCAACTCCCGAAGCGCTCAAGCAGAGACTCAAGGCTTCAGGCGAGGAAGACTCTACCACCCAAGAAATACTGAAGAGACTACCGACAGAGCTTGAACCAGGAAAGGTAGACGAGCTATTCAACACAATTATTGTCGACGACGATGAGCAAGCAGCAGTTAAAACTCTTGGGGACTATATCTACGGGAAGGGTGAGACTGAGCCTGCTGGAGAGTCTGGCTCAGAGGACACGGCTATGAAGGAAGAGGATGAAGCAATTGCTGATGATACCGAGACAAAGGAGGCTACAATGACGGATGCGTAATGCCGAGGTGTGCATACGTGGATAACATGTACTTCATAGGTTAGTGTTTGGACGTATTGGCAATTGACGAGATGATACCCCGTCAAACTGGCACTTTATACCGTTGGATTTCATGTATGCCCAAGCATGTTCAAAACAGATTATTTAGAGAACAGGAAATCGAGACAGAGGCGATACTATTCGGCTTAACACCTGGATACTTTGGCACGAGTTTCGTAGTAATAACAGCAAAGTGGAATTGAACGATATGGGTCACAAACAGCACCAGACTAAACTGCGCTATTAGCTATGTGTAGTTAAATTTGCAACGTACACTCCCTCCACACAGACAACACGACATGAAGCAATTCAAGGGTAGGAGGAATTTACTCCTCGTCAGAAGACTCCTCCTCTGAGTCGGCCTCGGCGAGCCAAGTCAGGAAGGGCTCAGCAGCCCTGCGAACCTTCTTGGAGGTCGAGATGTCAGTGTACTTCTTGCTGGCCTTGGAGCCCCACTTAGTGACAACCTCCTCGCTGATCAAGTCGTGGTGGTAGTAGAGCTGAAGAATCTTGACAATGGACTGGAACATCTCAGGGTGGTCGGCAGCAAGAGTGCCAACCAGGCGCTCAGTGCCTCCCAGAAGAGCCCTCTCGTGACGCTCAGAAGTAACAAACTAGAACAAGTTAGTGTCCAGGGACATAGATGGGGGTCAAGATGTTAGAACGTACCTGCTTGAGCATGCTAGCACGCTTGGAAATTTGAGCAACAATGTTCTTGTCGAAGATGGTCTGAACGAGAACAAGAACGGTGCGGTGCTTGCTCTCGATACCAAGTTCCTTGGCCTTGACATAAATGTCGATCGACTCGACTTTGTCGATGCCGCCCTTCTCCTCAGCCTGAGACTGGATCCAGTCACCAAGCTCATCGTAGATAGTAGGACCACCCTCACCATCTTCGTCATCATCATCGCCAATGTTAAGCTTCGCCTTGAACTCGCCAGGGAGAGAAGCCTGACGGGCCTTGACGGCTTCCTCACTCATATCAACAGCCCATTCGTGCTCCTTGACTTCGTTCTCCTGAGCGGCTGCAGCAGCCTCGGCTTGAACCTTTTGGAACTCATCATCACTGCCAGCATCGTCGTCGGCGTTCTCGTTAGAGCCGTTGTCAGAGGCTTCGTCACTGCCACCACCGCTAGTGCCATTGGCAGCATTGCCGTTCTGTCGAGCCTTCTTGGCAGCCCTACGCTCAGCCTTATCCTTCTTGCCCTTCTTGGGCTGGTTCTTGAGAATAAAGCCACTGAGCTTCAGGCGAAGGTCGACGTCACTGATCTTACCACAAGCTTTGCAGTCGAGGGTAATGTGATCATCCTTGATAACAACATCGGTCTCGGGGTTCTTGCACTTTTTGCAGAGAACAAACTTGTTGATGAAGCCATCGAGGTGATCCTGAAGCTTGGGAGCATCGTGGGCACCGTTGATGATCCAGCGGTCGTCCTTGGGATCGATGTTGGTTTGGGCACCAAGTTCGAAACCGAAGTACTTGATGACGTAGGAACCGGGACGGGCGAGTGAGGCTGCAACGCTGCTGAGGTTGACAACGACGGTCTTGATACCGTTTCCTTTGCCTTCGATCTTGGTCTGCAGACGCTCCATCTTGTAACGATAGAAAGCATCGCTAACATCGCGGCGAACGTTGACGAGAGCCATGATGACGGTATTGAATAGTTACTGGGTAGTAAGTAAAGGTGGTAAGGCAAAGCAGGTAGGCGAGGCTAGTAATTGGTATGGTCGTGAGATGACGAGGATGTCATGTATGAACTTGATAGCACAAGGTAGTTGAGGATGGGCGGAGCAACGAGGGTTTCAGTGCTCTTGATGATTTTTGATTGTCATGTGGCAGGCCGGAATGATGATCGGATGCTGATGGTAATGCATAGACAACTATAGTGTTGCTAAGTTTCAACCGTCGGAATTGATGTCGGGGCTACAAGGCTTTCGCGGTATGCGAAATAACTGCAGCTTAAAGAGGTGTCTGAAGACGGAGTGCTGGTCGTGCTGATACATAAACAGCAGTGTCGCTCGGCGGATATATGTGTTCGGAGAGGTACCGATTACGAAGAAGCAAACGATGACCGAGGACAAAAGGCGCTCCTAAGCCAGCACGATGGGCAGGAGGGTGCGAAAGAAAGCAGATTCGAGAGGCGAGTGGGTGAACAATGCGCGCTGCGACTGTGATGAGTCAACAGGCAAGACTGGGGCAAGTTGCGCTTTGCGCGATAGATAAAGAGGACGTTGGGTAAAGCAGGTTTTTCTGTCTCGATGAGATGCAGTGTGGTGTTGGAGAAAGGAAGAAAAAAGTGCAAGAGGAGTAACGACGTGAGTTAAGAAGGACAGACAAGTGAGGGGCCATGTTAGGGCCGACCGGCTTTTTTTTCTCTGAATGGACGCTAGAGAATGGGGCAAGCGGCAACCTGGGAAGAAAAAACCTGTCACAGTTTAGACAGTCACAACCTAGAAGCAGTCCAGGCTCCAATGGAAACTCATCATCACCTTCCTGGGTGCCTAGAATAAACCCGATCTAGGGGGGTTTAAAAGAAAGTTTAATATCTACGGATTAAAAAGAACAAATAGCCTTAAAATCTACTCTACTCTGAACTTAGATTGATAACTTTTTATTATGCCTCTTGTGCTTTCAGTGGTTAATATATTGACATCTGAGGACAACAATAACTCGAGGGATACCAGCTTACTGGAACTAAGTAAAGTCTTGCTGTGCATTGAATGGCCATGTTCACGCACGCCTTGAAGGTTTCGAATTTTGAAACCCTAGTAAAACTTTAACGAAAGATGGATTATTTGTGTTTTGTGTTTTTTGTGTTTTATTACCAGTCAATTCTGACTCGTCTTTATTTGCAACTATATCAGTTTTGTTAAACTTCCAATGTACATGATAGGCTACATCCCCTCGTCCAGCCAGTTACCAATTTGGCTTTGTAGTTTCCTATGGTGCTGAATGTATGACACGTATATTAGCATAGCACATGGTTATCGTCATATAACTAATGTCCCATTCAGTCCTTGACTGGCACAAACTTCAGGAGACATCGCTTTCCAAGAGGCCGTGACGAGATTAGCTGATCATCCATTATCATGGATTCACTCTTCATCGACTCATCTGGCTCCGTTTCGTATCGTGAATAGACATCCCGCAACAGCGTCTTCATCTCCACCATGGCAAGACTGCAGTGTTGTATCATTAGCATCAGGCCTTTCTCATGAAAGTCAACAAGTGTTACTTACTGCTTTCCAATGCATCCCCTGCCTCCACTTGAAAAAGCCCACTGATGCCGTCGTCGGTCGGCATCACCTTCGGCCGCCAACCATCTCTCTGGATAAAACTTGTCTGGTTCGGGAAACACGTCGTCGTTGATTCTGTGAACTGACATGGCCTGGCAACTAACCACAGTCTTTTCGGCCAAAGAAAAACCATCAATGACACGACCGCCCTGTGGAACATATCGCGGTAAAGACATGGGAATGGCCGGGAAACATCGTAGTCCCTCGTTCAGCACAGCGTCCAGCATAGGTAGTTCGTCAAAAGGTGCATCAGCCTTTCTCAGGAACTCTTCTTTCAACAAACGTTGATACTTGATTGATCGAGGCTGAGAGAGTTCCCACATCAAGAAGCACAGAACATCACCAGTCGTGTCAATACCTGCAGCCATATGGTCGAGACATTCGGCAGCCATGTCCATGTTATCGAGTATGCTGTCCTTCTCTTTTAGTCGATTGAGGACAGTAAAGTTCGCAGCTCCATCCTGTTGGGCATTTTCGATAACAAAATTGTCGGCCAAGGGAATTGATCGAGGCTTGGCAAAGCTGGCAAGAATCTTTGATCCAAGGCTGTAAACAACTGGACTATAGTATTGGACCAGTCGATCTGTGTTTTGTGTCAAATGTGATGCTTCAACCCTTTGGTGACAAACACTTACTCTGTAAGCTGTCGTCAGCAGCAACTTGGTGCATCATCTCTTCGTCCTCTTTGTCCTGCAAGCAGTTGCTTCCATATGGATGAAACAGTTGATGCGTGACACAATCGCATGCATACGAGTGCAGTGCTGTATTTGTCAGTCAGTCGTAATATTCGATACATGTTTTGTCCCTCGGACAGAACTAACCTCTCTATGATATCAATCGTTAGTCATGATATTCAAAAACACATATTTCAACTTACAAAGACATCCGCCGTTCTATCAGGAGACTCGACGCAATGCTGGAGAAACTTGTTGGACCGTTCCTTAATACCGGCCAAAGGGGCTGCCTTCATCACGTTACTGTTGGCATACCGATCGCCAATCATTCTCCGTCGCTTTGCGTGCTTGTCAAACAATTAACCTGCGTACACTTCATAGCATCGCATGTGAACTTACGTCGCCTTTAACCAAGGTTGAGAACATGGTTCTATGTTATCCAGAGTCAGCATAACTAGTGTATCAACATGTAATAGCATTCCTACCGCTTGCCATAGACCTGAAAGAGATTGTAGAATTCCGTCTTGTCATATCCACTGCCACCGGAGCCATAAATCTCTTTGATGGCAGCGATTGACGTAAAAGAGACTTCGTTAGGCGCAACACGGACCACTGGGCCGTATCTCTTGTGAAGCTCATGAATATACACGGTACGGTTGGCGTTGAGTTCGTGCCATTTCAGTACAAGCGAGGTGAAGTTTGATACAAATGGGCCGGGGACCTTTGCTGTCGCTGAACAAAGTCGAATGATGATATGGGCAAAAAGGAGCAGAGCAGCGACTCCAGATATGAGGCTGGGTGATAATATGAACATGACGACGGTAAGATCAGGATATTGTGCTTGGGCTACGCAGGAGAAGGGGGAGAATCAATGTAACCAAACGAGCGGCATCAAGCTTCTTATCACGAAGTGGCAGGTATTGAAGATAAACGTGCTAACTCTGATATGACTCCAATCCCTCGGGTTCAAGTCCGAAGACTTCGTGTGGGGATGTTTCTACTGCGTAACCGAAAGATAAGTGCATTTGCTGTTACCTATTATCAAACAAATTACGCCCTGTGATTATCACTATATTACCTATTGGCTTGTCGCTGTCGCTTCTTTGTTCCCTCTTGAGTAAGGTCTTCTCCACCTCCAACTCTGGGGTTTCTAAGTGCTAATCTATATCCCCACACTTCATGACGAACGGGCCAGGCCTGGCCAGCTATGTGTACTTGTGTAAAGTAGTTTCCTTTCTGAGAAAGACATGATGTGATTTTATCAGTTGGTATTCCTAATATCCAATAGGCTTTTCAACCTTGTAATATAGCATCTCTTAACATTCTCGTAAGACTAGTTGCTACAATACGTGACTTGCTAATAAACTACCTGCCCTCATCCTTGAACCTCGGCAATTGCACATCATGACTCGACGCCCTATTAGATGCCATGACATTCAATGGTCTTTTGTCAGCTAAATGCATGCCAAGGGTCTGCCCTAACAGACGTTCCACACTTCTATAAGTCCTGTTTCTTGTCCTTGCCACCGTCTTGATGAGAGCCTCCTCCAAGCATGCCCGAGATCCAGCTCAAGCCTGGAATCTGCATTGCGGCTGCTGGGGGGTATTCTTTACCACCGATCTTGGTTCTTGGAGTACATGTGCACCACTGCGACTCGGGCACTTGATTGAACACTTGCTGAACATGGTTACCACACCCACGCCATGACTTCTTTGCTGTTATAGGAGGTTTTCATTAGTCTTGTGTAAGTCCAAGCTGTATGAAGCCCTAAAAACTTACAGCAAGTTGGGCAGGTTGCGCCAAAACACATGGTTGCAAGTTAAAATATTAGAGGTAGTAGTTATGAGACAGGTCGTGAGGTATCTATTGCTTGAGCAAAGAGCCTGTCAATTGTTTTTGACTTCTTGCAATTATGGGTCTTTGTAGTAAAATATCGTTATTTTATAATACCTACTATCGGATGCAAACTAAAGAAGATGCCGCTCTGGCGTGGTGGTCGCTGAATTAACTAATCGCCGCGGTACGAACACTTTTGGATGATCTTGCAATCTGGGGTTACCCTAGACTTGGTATGGGTTCAGGTTCAGCTTGAGTCAATCATCAGGGCTTTTTTTGGCCATCTACTGTTTGTGATTTCAATATGTCGTCTTTAATTCTGTACACCTAATAATGACTGTTCAGTATAGCACTTTTTTGTGACTTAATAATGGTTGTGACGGTGATGCGTATATAACTGAGCAACATTTGGAGCAAAACCCGAAATTTTTATCATGTATTTTGAGCATCCATGTTGCCATAAAATCTGACAACTAAAAGGAACAGAAAACATTAAACAGCTGGAAATATACGAGGTAAACCGCAGTACGATAGTCAAATGCTCAGCGACGTAAGAACCAATATTCTTCATCGCCACCTTGTATAGGTAGTATGGCTTTTGTCTATGTACGGATAGTGACACACTGAATGCCAATGCAGTAAGAAGCAAATATGCCGGTCTGACAGGAAGCTTGCGGGTTACTATTCATAGTATCACATCACAGGGTACGCACGGCTCACATGGCGTCCAGAAAATCGAATTACAAAATGACCAGCATTTACTCTGTACATAGTAGAGATTGAGAAAGCACTTGTGCCTAGGTACTCATATGAAGTCTGTAAACTTCCATCACTGCCTATACCTTCTCAATCGATGGCATAAATGTTCAAGACATGATAAACTTCCCTGGCCCGCATGCACCACACATCCAGAGCGCAGGATCAAACATTGAATGGATCTTAGCCCACAGACACAGCCTCCTCTAGAACGGGTCAGGCCCAGTTCACCTACTCCATCTCCGTTGGAGACAATGCCCGACAAGGCTGATGATAAATGGATGCGAGCAAGATATACGATCAAATTTATAGAACCAACAGCTCTGATAGGACGGGTTACTGCTGACACGGATGGAAAGCTTGGCAGTGGACGAACTTCTGCAGACGCTCAGCGTTTGCTGACCATCCAACTTTTAGAGGCATGCTACCTGACCTTGATACTGCAGCATATCTAAGGAATGAAGTAGAGATGATATCAAGAGTCTTGGCTAATATGGCAAATACTATCTACCTAGGTACACTATAACTAGAGCTAGCAAAATATCCAAACCATAAGAACTAGCAGCCTGGCTAATAGGAGCTATACACAAAGATCATCCGCCTTAGAGAGCAATTAGACATGATGGGCTAAAGGTCTTCTGGTTACAGCATCGTGATCTCGGCTGTTAACCTACCTCTATGCCTGTCAGCACATGTATGGATATAGCGCCACTATTTTAGAGGCTGTGCTGTAATCAAAGAACCTAGTGATATTGATTATCCTTGTCTCAACAGAAAAATCTATACCTACACAGTTCCATATTTACGAACAACCATCATCCACCGAGGAGTTGGTTTTGTCGACATTCGGACCTCACTCCAATGACACCTTAGTGAGTGGTAAGTTAGCACTGGTCACTACTAATCTAAGTGCTCTTTCAGCCCCAGGCGCCTCCCGGCTGCTACCTTAAGTACCCAATCCCACAGGAAGGGACCTACAATAGGAACCTGACAGGGCCCATGTCTTAGTAGGTGAAGTCCATAGCAGGTACCGAGGTGCCCTACCTGACGGATCCCTGGGGTTTTCGGTGTCCACGAGGAGTATGGAATGAGGTGTTGGACGTGCACTACGAATTGTCCATGATTGCTGTAATAATGTAAAAGTCGGGTTAATTCTGTTCATACACCCATCCCGTCTCGTCCGGTCCGTGGTATCCATCGCTACCTAAGGTACCTCCTATGGACCACCTTAGTAGCTTAGTACGTTAGACCTACAGATTGCCTACCTAGGGTTCTTTTGGACTGCCCCCGATTTCGATAACCCAACATTGGATCGAAATCATATCTCTCAACTCCCTCCATCCGGTCCGTCTCTCCTCCTCCGTCCTAAACAGCTTACCGACCTCGACACTTCTCTATACGCGAATATCTTCTCCTCCGACTTTCTTTCCTAGGTAGTCCGCCGTCCGCAACGACAATCGTAGTCGCAGTATGAGGAACTTCCTCGGAAAGCACAGCAACCGGTCATCGCATGCGCTCAACGAGCCGCGAACTCCGCCCAAGACGCCAGCGACAGCGACAGCGACGACGACGAACAACAAGAGCAACCAACCTCCCTTAACTGGCAGTGCAGCAGCACCTCAAGCTCAACCGACAGGCCACCAGCGCCAACCAAGCCATCAACCCCAGTCGCAGCTTCAACAACAACAGCAACAGCTCCAACAGGATCAACACTACCAAGTCCAGCAGCGCCAGCAGCTCATTGATGAGGCGGACTCAGCCTCCCACAGCGCCCACTTTGGCCACCCTCAATCTCACTCACACTCGCACAACAGCGCAAGCGCCAGCGCCAATCCCAGCAGCGCCAACAATCCTTCCACCATAAACCCCCATTCAGCCTTGTCCTCGTCTCATAACACCGCCTTCAGCTCCAGCGAATCCTTTGATTCCCAACAGCCGTCGCAACCGTCTCATTACTTGCAGCAGCAGCAGCAGCAGCAGCAGCAGCAGCAACCGACGTTACATCTTCAACATCCTCAGCAGCAAACTCAAGGTTCTTTGCCGCTATTGCCTTCCCCCTCCTCCGCTTCTGCTGGCGCCCCTCCCCCACCTCACCTCTATAGTTCACCCTCAGCTGCCAGCAGTACGACCGGTGCAAACGTTACCAACAATCCTCCTTTATTGCAACAGCAGCAGAGCTCCAACCTATCTAACGTGGCATACGATCCTCACCAACCCCAAGGCGAATTTCACGACCCTGGTCTCGGTCGCTCGCAGAGTGTCCGCTATAGCGCTACCGCACCCTACGATAATCAGAACCAGTCCGTTGACGACCTGAACCGCTACAGTCAAATTCTACCTCAGCAGTTACAGCAACAGCAACAGCAACAGCAGCAAGTGCAGAATCAAGCACAAGCAGCTCCTGCTGAGAAGCGGTCGACTCGAAAATTGATTAAGGGCATATTTTCTGGGTCCAATCGTGGGGCGTCTGACAGCCAGCACCACCAAGGCATAAGCATCGGTCACAGTAACAACCAATCCTACGATAACACTGGCGGCCTTGCACGTCGACCGTCCAAGCGGGTGAGCAATCCACCGCCTTTCCTTTTTGTTCTTAATCGTGCCTTGTTTTTATATCCCTATCGTTTTGTGTTGTTGCGACCCTGAACCCCCAGTCTTTCTACGCCGCCTGCTCTTCAGTCTCATATCCCCCCTCTCTCAGCCCAGCCCAACACCCAATCCTACTACTCCCAACTTCACTCCGCCTACCTCGTTCGCTTTCTCTTTATCCTTCTTACTTGGCATACCAACCTGCCATAGGCCAAGCAGCCACAGCCGTCGAGTTTAGTCTGTCGCCCTATCCAATCCCCTTTTTGTCTTCAGCCCAAGTCAACCCCCCCAGTCATTATTTCTAGCTATTATTGGCGCCAACTGCGCACGCCGCTGCCAGCTCAAGCTGAGCTCCTTTGACAGGTCCAGCAGCTGCCCGAAAGCAGCCAACGCTCCCATCTACCCCAGCTTTCATCTCGCAAGGGACTCGACGATATTAATGAACACTATATCACACATCAATCTAACGAACAATCATTATCGCAGACTTCACGAATTTCGCTCCACAACACCATTCGCCAAGTCACTGGTGAGGTAGACCAGCAACAACAGAAAGAAGACGTCGCATACCACCAGAGCCAGAACCAAAAACAGGCCCCGCTTCAGCAACCCCACGTTCAGTTACACACAGACGACCAACAACCGCAATCTGCCTACGAAACAAACGCATACGACCACCAACAAACGTCTCTCAACCAGCCGCAACAGCCCTACCAGTTTTCAAACGCCCAGCAGCAGTCTGGCTATCACCAGGGTGGGAACCACGGTGGAGAATTGAGATCAGTTCCCGCGCATCTGGGTCCTAGCACACAGTTTCAGAACCCTGAAACAGTCTCGCAGTTCTCGCATGAATCTCCTATCGCCGACTCGGATCAACGTTCAACCAATTTACAGTCAGCGACCAATTCGCCTGCTGTGAATCACTCTTTGTATATTCAACAACACGGCTCAACACCGAGCCTCCCTCCCGTCCAACAAATAACTCCCCAGCCACAGCAGCCGGGTATGGCACCACCCACCGGAGGACCTCCAGCCTCACGCCGTCCAGACTCGGACAAGTTGCGCGGACAAACTGACGTCCCTGGCGGCCCGCCCCCCACTTACCGTCCCGCCAATTCTATGAACAACATGAACCCGCTACCCCCCGTCCCGCCCCAGGCGGCTGGCCAGTCACAGGCATACAGAGGCGACCGCCCGCCTCCATTTGAGGGCCAGACGGTTGACCAGGGACGAGACAGCCCCCAACCTGGATCCGCTGTGCCAGCTGATTCTGGCGAAAACGACAAGTCATTCAAGGATCTGCGTAAGTCACCCCGGCAGAACCAAGAGCGCATACTAATTTGTTACAGTGACCAAATATAAGAATGTTAAGCGACTTTACTTTGACGGCAAGGCGCAGATCGATGGTCTCAACGGCCAAATCGTGCATCTTCAGAACGCTGTAGCCAATCAGCGCATGTCGCAATCGCGCACCGCTCTCGATGACAGTGAATACTCTACAAGGTTCAATCGACTCAATGGTGCCATCAACAACCTCTCTTTCAACATTCGTAAAGATTGGCGGTGTGTGCCCCAGTGGCTTGACAAGTATGTTAGCGCAGAGGCACTCAAGACCGGAAAGGCTGAGAT